ACCTTAAAGATGGATGGGTTTTATTTGGCTTGTGCTTTTGTGTAGCTGTACCACCTGAAGAGATGGTTTGTAGTACACAAAATTTTAGGCCAAATAAGGTGCCACAAGAATTTCCATTGTTTTTGCCATAACAAACTAGACTAGGCACAACTGCCCCATGTAAGCGTTATCTTGTATCCTGTATGTCAGAAGGGCAGATACCCTGGAATAACAACTTATGTGCACATATTTTATTGGTGTTTCAGAAATATTTATATACCATCCTTTCACTGCATTTATAATGTAAGTTTAAGTCAGGCTCCAATTTAAAGACTGAGCCAACACCATGAAACCTGGTGTATGTAATGTGTACAGCACAGTTGTGCTCAATCTGAAAAACAGCTTAATCTCTCTATACTCATTTAAAGTCAGCTTGGAAAAAGAAAAATGCAAAGTTCATTGCACTGTGACCACCGACTGTCTGTGACTGTGCTTTGAAAGCACCGACTGAAGTTCTGGATGCCATCTTGTGCCAATTCCTACCCTGGTCCTTCTCCACAGTGCTTTTAAGACCCAGTTATCCTCAATTCCCCAGGTCTGTATTTCAAGTTGCAATGAAGACAGCCTAGCTTACAGCCCCACTAACATAACCATAGGTTATGAGTCGCTTCTTTCTTCATTAAGCCATCTAAGGTATCAAAGTTCATTACTGTTTGCAAAGGGCATCCTGCCAAAGAACGTAAGAACCCACGCTGCCTGAGAGCAGAAGTTCCATCTTGTTCCACCATGACAAGCCTGATGCTTCAAGGAAGCCTACATGGAGGCCACGTGTTGTTCTTCCATACCACCAAACGATATTTGGGATATTTGGAAGTTCTTTTTAAAGTTCACGATAGACTCATTTTCAGTTAAATTGTCTCCTGCTATCTTTGGCTTCTCAGTTTAGGATGTAACTCAGCTTGCTACTCCATCCAGGTCTGTAGAAACCAATACTCTTAAGTGAGAACGTTCTGGAATTTTTAGTCATATTTGGCTATCCCGCTAAACCAAAATGGATGGCATTTAGATTATTTTTAGCCTATGGATAGAAAGAAGCCGTTGCTCGTGGGTACTGAACCACATGAGAATAAGCAAACAGCAGAAAAAAAATTCACTGCCACTGTTCTAAATACTGGAAAAATTCAGTCTATCAAAACATGGGAACAGAGCTCAATGGAGATTCAGAAATCCAATGAATAGGCACCTTTGAATCCTCTGAAATGTTGCAGACAGCAATAAAGGTTGTTTCTTTTTTTAAAAAAACACCTTTCAGTTACTTATTTTACTTAAAATGTGTAAATACTGAACAAACAGTATATGAATTTTCAGAAGTATTTATTACAAAATGTTCCACCCGAGAGAGTGGAAGTTACCAGACATCTAGAGAACATTATAATGTTTCAGGTTCAAAAAGAAAAGTTTCTGAAGGATAAGCAAGTGAGATAAAAATAAACACTACTGAGAAGTTTTAAAAATCCAGATGGTAGTAGCATGGAACTGTGATATAATTGTGCAGTATCTAAAAGTTGGTTTTGTTTAAAGTCTTAAGATGCTCCAGATATAATTCTGTAATTCTTTTGTTGTTGTTGATGTTGTTGTTGTTGTTGTTCATCCCCCCATTAACAGATGCACAAACTAGTACAGTATTATAATACTCCATTCTCCAGGTTCATGGGCCATAACCCGCTGAATAGCAGCTATATGGGAAACAAATGGCCATCTCTTCATGCTTTGCTTGTAGTTTTCCATGAGGGATCTGGATGACCTCTGTAGTAAGACACTAGATGTACCTTGTCAGATCCTGCAGTGCTCTTCTTATAATCTCAAAACAATAGCTGAAATCTGAGGAGGTGGACTTGTCCCCAAAAGCTCACATTGCTACTACATTTTGGTCTTCTTTATCTTTTATTTTCCTCATATGCATTCCTGCAGTAAGTTACAACTAAAGGAGGCCTGTTGAATGCAAATGTTATGAATCAGTGGCAGGTTCCACTAACTCTAGTAGCAACTCGCTATTGGATTTCAGCCAGTATTTTAAAGCAAAATATTTTGCAGAAAGAAAAAAAATGTATAGTTGAAGGCCCACTCTGAAAAGCAAGGAAATTCAAAACACAGAACAACATTCCCCCATCCTCACTGAAAACATGGTTGCATTGATATACAGTACTCTTCTTGTCCCTTAACTTCCATCACAAGTAAACATGCAAGCATGGCTTGAATTTAGATTACAAATACCTCTGAAACCCCATTCCCTCTATTAGCAATGCTAAGAATTGTTTATGGGACAGAGATCAGGGTCTATCCATGGAACCCACTATTTTAGACTCATAAGATAGCACAAAAGTGTGGGTTATCTCACAATATTTTAGACTCTAAGATAGCACAAAAGTGTGGGTTATCTCAGCACCCCTGCAACAACGAAGTCTGCTGGGCATACACTTGAGCCTGGTGGGGAGGGTTTGCTAATTAAGAGCAGGAAAGTCCCATTCCCCAGGATAAGGCGACCTCCTCCCTTTCTCCGTTACCTGTCTCCTCACCTGGCCGTGGGATGCTCACCACAGTGGGAGCACAATGCCGCCACACCTGGTATTTCCACACCTGGGGTCTAAAAGAAGGGGATTTGGGTCCCCAAAAGCTCACCCTAAGATAAATCTTTATGATGCCCCAAATATGTTGCTTTTGTGCCCCCTTTCCCCATTATTTCTGCCAAAACCTCACACAAATCCCCCTTTGCCCCCCATTTCTCCTCTTACTCGGGGGGGGACACCATAGTTCTCCTCTCCCCCAACCACAACTCTTCCTCTCTCCCCCCAGCCCCTTCCCCATA